TACCTGGTTTTGAGAAAATACTTGATGGTAAAAGGGCAAAAAAAATTTGTTTTTGTTTTTGTTTTTTGCGGCAGGGTCTCCCTTTGTAGTTCAGGCTGGCCCTCAACTCACCATGTAGCCCAAGCTGGCCTCCAACTCTCAGTGATCCTCCTGCCTCAGCCTCCCAAGTGCTGGGATCATAGGTGTGTGCCACCAGGCCCAGCAAGCAGATAATATATTCCGTAGGAGCATGAATTAGGTCCCAGCACACAGCACTGCAAATAGTGAAAATAACTGTGGGCTAACCAAACTTTCCTCAAAAGTCAATTATTCTCCACTGTGTCAGTTTAAATCAATAAAACACCCAGAGTTTTTTTCTGTTTCCACACCAATTCCATTACACCCATCACTAAGATGCTACCACTGCCCTTGCAACTTCCTTAGCTGAGGAGGAAGGACTTACCTTCTTCATGAGTATAGCACAGAATACCAAAAGTTCAATCCCTACTGAGCAAAGCACAAAACTAGACTTTAACTCCAGCCCAAGATGGGCATGGTGTTACTGGCCTGTAATCTCAATACCTGGGACAATCACCTTGAGTTCAAGGCCAGTCTGGCCTACACAGTGAGTTCAAGGTCAGCCTGAACTATATAGCAGACCCCATCTCGAAAAAACAATAAAACAGTGCTGAGAATTTAGCTCAGTGGTTCCGCTGTCTGCCTTGAAAGAGCAAGGTCCCGAGTTCGATCCCGATACAAAAAAAAAACCCCTACAAACAAAAACTTAAATCTAGATAATTAACCTGTGGCTCATCCAGATGTCAGTGCATAATAATACTGATTCTGCATTTACTTTCTCATGATAACGTAAAAAAAAAAAAAAAAAAAATATATATATATATATATATTTTTTAAATACAGGGTCTCACTATGTTGCCCAGGCTACCCTTGAATTCTACATCCGTCTGTCTCAGCTGGCTTAATTTCTCTTAATAGGATGAGATCATGTATCCAGTCAGAGCAAAAAACCTCATCTAGCAGTGGGGTGTGGCGGTGTGCGTGTATAGTACCAGCACTTGAGAGGCTGAGGCAGGATAGCGACCAGTTCAAGCCCAGCCTGGACTACACAGTGAGTTTGAGGCCAGCCTGAGCTATACAGCAAGACCTACCTCAAAGAAAAAAACAAACCATAATCCCAGCTACTTGGAGGCTGAGGAAGGAGGACTGATTCCAAGTTCCAGATGAGCCTGGGCAACTTAGCAAGACCCTGTCTCAAACTAAAATTAAAAAGGCTGGGAATGTAGGTCAGCATTCCCAGAGTGCTTTCCTAGCATGCATTCAGCCTAGGTTCAATCCCAGTACCAGGAGAGAAAAACTCATGTAATGTGAAGCAACTCTCCAACATTAGAAGGTAACACCATGGAAGTCCAAAACAGAAGGGTATACTAGTCCAAGATTTACCCTGTTTAAAAAGGACAAACAGCTTTGCAGAGTAAGTAGTCTTGATGGTCTAACAATTACACAAAACCAGAAAGACTCTCACCTGTAGCTTCCTTGGACTGAAACTTATCTACTAAGCTAAGCCTATACAGCAGAACCATCCATATAGTGAAAGCACCAAAAAAATCCAAGTGTTGAAGAAATCAGAGTATTGTATCCGAAGTCTGACTTTAAGAAGTATTGAGGGGCCTGGGATTTAGCTCAGTGGTTCCCGAGTCTGCCTCGAAAGCACAAGGTTCCGAGTTCGATCCCCGGTACCAAAATAAATAAATGAAAAGAAGTATTGGGGCTGGAGTGTGACTTAGTAGTAGAATGAGTGCTTAGCCTAGGTTCAATCCCCAGCACCAAAAAGTAAACATTAATTTTTAAAAATCACCACCTTTTACAAATAGTTTTGTGACTAAAATGTAAATCCAACCCTTCCTGTTATAAATCTCAGCCTCGTAAAGGACAGACAGGAGCTTCCATAGCCTCTGTATGGCTGAGTTTAAAGTCCTAAAACACTGAAACAGTGGCCAAGCCTAGCTATCTACCCACTTCATTGGTCCAGAGGAAGCCCCGCCCCGCACAACCACAGTCACTGAACATCAAGGGAACTCCAGGAAAGGTTGTCCGGACCACATTTTTAGGGCTTTATAGACTCTGCCCTTCCCCCACTACCACCGGCACGGAAGCGTGGTCACATCGACAGCCGCCCTCGACCGCAGATTGTCCCCCGAGAAGACCTTGAGCACCTCTTTCCCATAGTTACAACCGAAAGGAGTGGCTGTGACCATGCTCCCACGGTACTAGTAGTACGAAGCCATCCACCCTGCGGAGCGCAAGGGGGGGGAACACCAGCACTGGCCCTCACGCCCTAGGAAGAAGACACAACCGACTCTCAAAGAGTACGTCCGGACACCTTCACAGCTTCAGGCAGCAGAGCCTCTCCCTCCCACCGGGACCTAGGGCGGGGCAGATGTAGGCGCTGCGAGTCCCAGGCAGACCCGCAGACCGGACAGCGGGCTTCCCCGAGCACCGCCTACCGGCCGAGGAGGCGGAAACCTGGGGGTGGGGAGGGGAGGGGTCAAAGGGGAGGGGCATAGCGCTCAGTCCCGCGCTTCTAGCCAACCGGATCCCAGTAGGCGAACACAGACCTCAGCCCCCTCCCCACCACGCCCGGAACCGCACGCGGGAGAGCCCCCTCTCGGTCCCCCACCCCGCAGGCGCAGGGCGGCTGTCGCCGAGGCCCCGCCCACCGGAGAGCAGGAGGCGGGGTCTGCGCCGGCCGCCCGTGGAGCCCCCGCCCCGCCCCTTTCCCCACAGCCGCACGCGCCGGCCCCGCCCCCGAACGCGGCGCGAGAGCCCGCCCCCTCCGCGCACCGGGGCTGCGCTCTCCTCCCCCTCCCGCGCCGAGCGCGCCGCTCCGCCCCCGCCCCTCACACATCCACACGCCTCCCGCCCGGCGCTCTACGGGAAGCCGAGGAGGTCAGCCCCCCCCACCAAATACACGCCCTCGAGCCCGGCGTTACCCGCCACCCAGGCTGCCGTCCGAACCCGACCCAGCGTGCTCTCACCGCAAAGCTCCTCAGCCACTCGTCGCTGCGCGTCCCCTCAGCTTGAACCTCGCACTCAGCGGGGAGGCCCGAGAACAGCGCGGGCGCAGGCCCGCCGAAGCGGACTGGCAGCTTCCTCTCAGCTCACGGAGCGGTCGCAGGCCTTAGTGCCCAGACTGGGAAGGAGGGAGGGAGGGAGGGAGGGAAACTCCAAGGGGGAAAGGGGAGGGGGGAAGATGGAGAAACCGTCTCTGCTGCCTCTACCGCCGCGGCCGCTTCTCTGTTACCCGGGAAATCCCGCCCACTCCCCAGGCCCGCCCCGCCGAGGGAAGGCTCAGCTTCGTTCAGCCATAGGACACAATTTCCGTTCGTCAAAGGCTTAGCCAATCACTGAGCCCCGCCTGCCCACGTTCCGCCCCTTCCCCCTCGGCTAGGAGGGGAGGGGGAGCCGCTCACCCTCTCCACGCCCCTATTGGCGGGGAGCGTCCCTAACTCAACCCCGCCTATTGGAGATGGCTCGCTGAATCCCACCCCCAAACCGCAACTCTATTGGAGGAAACTGGGAAGCTCTTCACGTCTCATTGGAGGGTTCCACATATCCCGCCCCGTACCGCCTGAGCCACAGGCCTAACAAATCGGCTCCCGCCTCCGCCGGCCTTCGCATTGGAAGCTACCTCTGGCTCTCCCACTGCCCTAGGAAGGTAAGTAACTGATGTGGGGTAAAATGTCCGTAAGTGAAACAGGCCCTTCCCACCACTCTGCCAGGCCAGACCCCGCCCCCAGCAGTCTGATTGGCTAGCTCGACGCCGGTCGCCCCTCCATTGGATGAGTCGCCTGTCCAGGAAGGAGCCGATTCCGCCCTGTGAGAGAGGGCTGAACCTCACCAGTCCTTTTGTGGAATGTTTACACTAGAGACTGGAGCTCAGAGTTCCAAGGGCCAGAACAGGAGGGGTGCGCGGCGCAGCAGCGAGACTCGAGACCCTGGGATTAGCAGGGGAAAGGCAGTAGTAGCATTGCCAATCCCGAAGGGCTCCCGTAGCAAAACAATGAACGAGAGCCTCATTCTTCCCACCCAGTCATGTTTAAACTTAGGCGTGCTGCCTTCCCATAAACACCAGTATCTGGAGCGACCACAGCTTTCAGCAAGCAGAATACAGAACTCAGGTTTATAGAGCCCGAAGCTGAGAAGTAACCACAGGGGTTGCCAGCCTGCCGCTAGGGGAAGGCTGCACGCCTCTTGCTCCCTAAACCTGAAGGCTCAGGAGGGCGGGGATCACCAACAGGGCGGCCCCTAGAATCCGCTGCCCTGCAAGCCTCCAGGAAGCAGCGGGGAGGAGAAAGGCATTTACGATTTCCCGAGCAGATCGGGAAGCATTCTCGGGCTGCAGGAACTGAGAGCCAGAGGCAAAAATCGCAAGAGACCACGCAGAAACGAGCTCTCTCGAAGAGAGCATGAAAACTCCCGAGTTAGGGTCAAAACACAAGAACGAGTGTGCACAGGCGAGCGCCTGTAATCTCAGCTCCTGAAGAGGTTGAGGCGGGAAGATTCCTGGCGCCCAGGGGTTCTGGGCCAACTGGGCATCATAGCGAGACTTTTTTTTTTTTAAAAAAGAACGGCTGTTCTCAGCCTCCTCCGCCAAAGTGTGTTGGTGGCAGTCCCTAGGCATTCTCTGGGTAGCGAGAAACGCCACGAACACATACGGTGCTTGCGATAACTAGTTGCTTTTAGTTTTTCACTAAACGGGACTAGGGTCCATCCTGGCCTTGCTTTGGAGGCGCTCTCGCAGCGCCAGAAGGGGCGGGCCCAGTGTTCCCGCTTTTTCCTGCAAAAAGGATCCTTCCAGACCTAGGTCCGCCACGGTCCTCCCCAGATGATCCAGCGGAGACGGCCAGAAACTAACGCTGGCAACAGGTGGCTCTACTCCAGGGATGGCCTCGAGCCGCGTGGCTAGGGCAGCGAGTTGCGCACTCTATGAGTGGCCGGCAGGTGGGAGCACCCTCCCCTTAACCGAGCCAAGACCGGGCCGACCCAAAGCTCTAAAAATAAGTTAAATCGACGCAACGGGCCAAACCGCTCGGAACTGATGTGGACGCAGCACCCTAAGCTGGCTTAAAGCCACCTTCCTCCCCTCGACTCCAAAGCCACCCCGAAACCAAGACAGAGGACGTCTCGGCTACCCCTGGCCGCGGGGCACGAGCTTCCCTGGATCGTGCGTTCCCAAGGCTCCAACCCTAGGGTGTCAGGGTTTTGGATATGGCCAGCTTAGGACACAGCCGTCCTCAAGGTTGTCAGGGTTAAGCTAATAGACGCAAAGGAGCAGAACAGACAAGCTACGGCATCCGAACTTTAGTTCATGGGGCAGGTCAGAGCCACCCCTCCTTTCCATGCCTGCAAAACTCCAGAGCTAAGCGTTCCCCAAATCCACTCCACACGGTTACGGCCTAGCTTCACCCCAGGGATATGGATCTCCAGCCTTGGAAGAATCTTTGTGTGCCTCCACGGTGTTCCCAGCTCCCCCCCACCAAGGGCGCCGAGCCCCACACTTCCGGGCGGGAGGGCAGTTGGAGGAGCTGGGCGGGCCTCACCCATGTGCGGAGCGCGCTTCCGATCGCGGGAGGGGGGGTGGACTTCCCCTCTAGGTTCTCTTCGGCGGAGGGGGCGGGACTCCCCAGTCCGCCAATCAGAAGGAGGGGAGGGACCTTGCGCCTGACATCAGGCGCATGACCCCTCCCCCTTCCTTCATCAAAAAAAAATCCTAGCAACTTAAACTCCAGCCCGCCCTCCTGTTAGGCGGAGCTCGGGGAAAATACCACCCAACCTACATCCGAGAAGGGAAAACGGGAGTCTCGCCCAACCAGTGGAAGACAAGAGGAGGCGGAGCCTCCGGGGAGCCCGAGGTGGGTGGAGAGGAAGTGGCCCCGCCCTCTGGTCCCCTTCGGGCCGCTGGCACAAGCCGCCGGCGGAGCAGATAGTAAACAGTTTGGGCTGGCGCGGAGGCCGGTGGGCGCTTGAAGAATTGGCTCGGTTCAGCTCCCCACTGCGGCTGGTCTTGGCTCTTAGGCGCGCCCCCCTCCCTCCTGCCCGCTGATGCATTTCCCTTTCCCAGCCCCGCGCGCGTGGAGACTGTTTTCCCGGGCGCCGACCTTCACGGCCCCTTGCAGGCCACCCTCGTGGGCACGCGCCGCGCCCGCTTCCGCCAGCTTTGGGCGGAGGGGACCAAGCCGCGGCCAGGAGGGAGCAGGGCTGCCCGAGTAGGCGGGGAGGGACCCACTCCGGGCTGCGAGGCCCGGCGGGGGGCCCGGCGGGGGGCGCGCGCTCCGGGTCCACACCCCAGCCCGGAGTTCAGGAGCCCGGGGCCGGCGAGGCAGAGCGGCCTCCCGAACCTGTAACAACCGCGGCCCACAACTTTACGGGTGGAGGCACTAGGTGCCGTACCCGGCAAGGCGTTGGGGACACCCGGTCGCAGCCGGCTGGGATCCGCCAGCTTGGGCTCCGGGCCCCGCCGCCGCCCCGCAGCCCGCCCTGCGCACGGAGTCCCCCCTTCCCTTTGATACAGTATTTTTTAGGAAATAAAAAGGCACAGCCAGAGTGGAGGCTCTTTGCTGGCCGGCCAAGACCTCCCAGGGCGCAGCGACACCCACGAGGCCGCAGCCGGCGACCCCCGCCCCACCAGCCGGCTCGGCGGGGACACTGGCAAGCGGCGCCAACAGGCTCCCCCCCAGCCGGCCCTCCCCGCTTCGGCCGCTCGGCCCAAGCCCGACTGCTTCGGTCTTGGGGCCCGCGGCACCCACGCCACCCGCGCCGGCTGCAGCAGGAAAGCCAGCGACCCCCGAGCTCCGGGAGCAGACCGATGGGAAGCAGCTGTCCACATACCTTCCGACCAGCGAGGATCCGTGGCCACGCCCCCACTCACCATTGGCTCCCGGCCCATGGCGTCGCTGGGCCCGCCCCCTCCTCTCCCCTCCTCCCCGCCCTGGAGCGCCCTCTCCCTTCCAAAAATAAAAATAAATTAATTAACCCGCCAGGAAGGGAAGTTGTACGGACCTGTGAGGGGCGCGGGGATTCGTCCGCGGTGTGGACGCTAGGGGCGCCGGCAGGGCCCTGGACCTCAGTTTCCTTCCCGCGCCCGACCCCCTTGGAGCAGGGCAAAGAGACGGGGCTGGGTGCCATAGCGGTCAGCTGGAAGGTGTTGGCAGAACGGGATCCGCCCGCTCCGTTGGGTGCCGGGAAACAGCGAAGCGAGCGGGAAGCCTTGGTGCTGGCCCCTGGGCACCAGACACCAAGGGCGGGAGGACGGGCGTGGACTGCTGTGGGGCGAGGCTCACTCCACCCTCGACCCGGAGTAGGTGCAGGAGCTGAGGCCGGGCAGGAATGTGCATGTAAACAGATGTGCAGAGGCGCCCTGAGAAGGAGATTCCTCCTCATAGCCGAAGGAAAATTGGGAGAAGGCTTCCTGGAGGCGGTGGCATTCAAGGTGGGTCTGAAAGATTTCATCCAACAGAAATGGAGGGGCAGGTTATTTTCAGCAAAGGGCACAAAGGAAGGCATGTGAAACCTCAAAGGCTTCACATGTACTGATAATGAAAACCAGGCTTGCAGAGATGAAGGTGTGATACCCGGTTACAGTGCTTGGACTTGCACAGGACCACAGCACCAGGACCGTGGTTGATGAAGGCGTTGGCATCCTACCACAAATCCGGGTAGGTTTGGAGGGTGAGCCAAGCGAGGGGTACCTCTGGGTTGTGGAAAGGCAGTGGTGTGAAGACTGCAGAACTGCATCTCATGGGTGGACAGATTGGGGAAGCCAAGAAGCTTCTGGTCTTTCTCCCACTCACTCAATTCAAAAGATGTACCCATCCTTTGCAGCCCTCAAGTCAAAGCTGACTGGGATCCTTCCCTCCATTGTTTGCTGTTTATCCTGACTTCCAACTGGAAGGAGTTTGTGAGGCCAGGGCCACCCCTCTGTGTTCAATAGACTCAAGCCTAGAGCCAGACACACATGTGTGAGCAAGACAGACTTCCCCAAGCTACTGAGGAAAGGACAGTGGTGTGGCTACCAGATGGATGTGCAGGAACCGAAGGCCTTGGGATCCTGAAGGCAGGAGAGGAGACTCCTGATAACCCCCAGTGAGAAGAGTGGGCCAGGGGAGGGGCAGTGGGCAAGAAGACTAAGAGAAGAATTGTTTTTGAGAAAGACAGAAGGGGAATGGTGTCTTATTCAGTGTGGGCAGCAGAGGAAAGAAGTAGCCAGTGGCCTCATGGGAAGAGGAGGAAGAGGGCTC